TTTCAGAGTTAATGTTATTCTTTTTTTTTTCTTTGAGATAGTGCCTCACTCTGTCACCCAGGCTGGAGTGCAGTGGTACAATCTTGGCTCACTGCAACCACCGCCTCCTTGGGCTCAAGCAATCTTCTCACTTTAGCCTCCCGAGTAGCTGGGACCACAGCATGAACCATGCCCAGCTAACTTTTTTTTTTTTTTTGTATTTTTGTAGAAAGAGGTTTTTGCCAAGTTGCCCAGCCTGGTCTCCAACTCCTGGGCTCAAGGGATCTCCCAAAATGCTGAGATTACAGGTGTGAGCCCTTGCACCCTGCTGATGTTTTTCTTAAAATGCAAATTCTTTGGTTCCACTCCATACCTACTGAATTGGCATCTCATGGAAAACCTATACAATTTGCATTTTCAACTAGTATTGTGTATTTTTTGCTACTCAGAGTAGTCCTAAATTAGCATTAGCATCATCTGGAAACATTTTAGAAATACGGAACTCCAGACCCTGCTCCAGACATAATGAATCAGAAATAATATAGACATTCAAGTTTGAAAAGCACTAGGTAATCTTAATGTACACTTTGAAGTTTAAGAATCATTGATCTACCCCCAACCTATCCTTTTTAGCTTATCCCTCAGGGTTGCTCTACATTTATTAATTCAACCAACACCTACTGAGTAGGATATCAAGTATGGCTTCACATAGTCATGGAACTCATACAGAGTTGAAAGGGTATAATGTCTACCCTCCGGACACACTGGGATTAACGAATGAAGCTGGTTACTGCTGCACATGACCAGCCAGTGGCTCTCACCCTCCATTCAGAATAAAGGAATCAATATTTCGGGCACACCCATAACCCATTTATGGTATATTAGTTGGGAGCTCTGCCTTATGTGCTGGTATTTCTTAAGATTTCACTCTTGTCTCTCTTCTCACTGCTCATGCTCCTTTGACAAGATCGTCCACTTCCATGGCTCAGTCACTACATTACGTCTTGACTCTCTCTAGCCCTAACAAAACCGAGTTACCAACTCCTGAACAGAACATGGCTGTCCGTACTAGACCTCTCCACACCAAACCATTGACTCAAACTTGTTTATTAAGGAAGGATCTGTGATGCTACTGTCACTATCCCTAACCTATCAACTTGCTGCCTTCCTCACTTTCCATTTGTGCTTTAACCCTCTGTAGTATTGCATTTGCCCTATTACCCTAAGATTATTGTTACAAAGGTCACTAAGAGTAACCAGTCTCTACATTGCCAAATTCCATCCTTCCTTCCATTCCTCGTCCTCTCCAGCAATTGATAACCTTTTATAACTCACTTCTCCTTTAAACTCTCTGTTGCCTTCATTTTGCCCAATCTGAAGTGCCCAACTCCCCTATCCTTCTGCTTCTATAATATTTCCCCCTTTTACCATGTGAAGAATAATTTTCTAATGTCCCCCTTGGGTTTCTCCAGATACTTTTTCAAAGATTGGAGTTTCCCCAAATTTTATCTAAAGGTCACTGTTCTTATTTTCTGTTTTCACCTTGTCCCCTTCCAATCTGTTCTCCCCAGTGCAATAGGAGTATCAATCTATTATGTCAAGCCTTCCGTGGTTCTTTTCATCTCAAACGGAGTTGAGGTCCTATGTGGCCACACCTCTTCTTTATCTCACCAACCTGATCATCAAATTCTACTCTCCAAGACATAATATCGATTAGAACAAGGATGCTTTCAATTACAAGAAACAAACAGAGAAACCCAACTCAAAATTATTAAATTATACAAAACAAAGTCTGGAGTTTGGAGGCTTCTGGGTTGGTTAATTCAGGAGCTCACTGGTGACACTGAGGAACCAGGTTTCTCTATCCCTTCTGCTTTCACTTTCCTTGGGATACCGGTTTGGTCTTCCAGGATGGCTCTTGCTGAAGGTAGCTGCAGTAATTTATTCTGTTTTTCTGCTTATCAATAAGGAGACCTTTCCCGGAAGCCCTGAGCAGACATCTCATGCATGGCTCATTGGCTAGGTTAGTCATAATTAGTCACCCCTTCCTAAACCATATTGTTGGCCAATCATGTGGGATTACCACAGATCACTTACTTATGTGCTGGAGAATCAAAACTGGGGCTCCTCAGCAAGGAAGAAGGGAGGAATGCATTATCCTACTGTTACATATATGCGTCCATCTTCCTATACATACACTTAAAAGTGCTCATGTCCATATGAAAAATGTATTTATTTCCCGAAGAGAATCAGCCAGAGTCTCATCTGGATACTCTACCCAGCTTCATGTCTAAGATCTCTGGTATGATATGCAGTCTTCTTTTTCAACTGGTGGCTATGGCTCTCTGGTGTCTTGTCCTCGACAGCCACGTCTGATATGAGCACTGGGAAGAATACTCTAAAGCCTCCTCCCTCCCTCCTTCTCTCCTTTCCTTCCTTCCTTCTTTTCTTCCTTCCTTTCTTCCTCCTTCCCTCCCTCCCTCTCTCCCTTTCTCTTTGTTTCTTTCTCTCTCTCTCTCTCTTTCTTTCTTCTTTCTTCTTTTTTTTTAAGACAAAATCTTGCTCTGCTGCCCAGGCTGGAGTGCAGTGGCACAATCTTGGCTCACTGCAACCTCCACCTCCTGGGTTCAAGAGATTCTCCTGCCTCAGCCTCCCAAATACCTGGGACGACAGGCACACACCATCATGCCTGGCTAATCTTTGTATTTTTAGTGGGGACAGGGTTTCACCATATTGGCCAGGCTGGTTTCAAACTCCTGACCTCAGTCTGCCCACCTCAGCCTCCCAAAGTGCTGGGATTACAGGCGTGAGGCAGTGTGCCTGGCCTTAGAGTATATTTCTTTATTTTGTTCTATTTTGTTTTTTGAGACAGAGTCTCGCACTGTCTCCCAGGCTTAAGTGCAATGGCACGATCTCGGCTCACTGCAACCTCTGCCTCCCAAGTTCAAGCGATTCTTCTGCCTCAGCCTCCCAAGTAGCTGGAATTACAGGCGCCCATCACTATGCCCAGCATTTTTTTTTTTTTAATTTTTAATAGAGACGGGTTTTCACCATTTTGGCCGGCCTGGTCTGGAACTCCAGATTTCAGGTGATCCACCCACCTCAGTTTCCCAAAGTGTTGGGATTACAGGCTTGAGCCACCGTACCAGGCCTAGAGTACATTTCTTGATGGTGTGAGCTTGATGTCCTGTCTCAGAGTCACTATTTTCCCAGCCTGAAACACTTGTGTCTCAATGCCCTCCATCCTGCCTTTCCCACCTGGCCCATTACACACCATTCTGGGTCTGCTGTGGGCATTCCACTTCTAAATACTCAATTGTTTATCAGTTTGGATTCTTAGTCATAAGCAACAGAGATGGATTCTGCCTTTCAGCATAAGATAAATTGTATTTGAAGAATATTGTGCTGCTCCCAGAATGGCCAAAAAGTACTAGAAAATCAGCATCAATCTGAGCCACACAGCTAGGAATGAATCCCAGAACTCTATTGCATAACTGGTTGGGTGGGGAAATTGTAGCCACTGTTGCCAAACACTGACACACTCTGTAACACTATCTGCTGTTTTGGGAATTTGTTCTTGACACATGTGCTACTGCACGTGGAGAAGATACACGAAGGTCCTGCCTTGATTTGTTGCTGTTAACTAGCTACTAATTTTAAAGTACGTGATTGGCAGAGCCTAGGTGTGCCCATGCCTTTTACTCCAAGGGAAGATGAAAAAGCAAGTTCAGCTTAAGTTGTTTGGCATTTTCAGCCTTCATAGAGACTGTTTCAGTGGGAAGACTCAAGGAATTCCCCAAACATAAGAAGGGGCTAAATTCTAAGTAGCCCAAAAGAAAGACCTGCTTAAGGGCAAATCCAGTTTTTGTGGGACCAAAACTTACACAGGCTGGTGGGGTTGTGGAAGTGGGGAAGGGATTTATTTAGGGAAAATACATTCAAAATTCTAATAACAAATTAGAAGGTTTGAAGGGGCTTTTCCAAATGAACAGCCCTGAAGCTCTACTTCCGAAATCACTATGTTAGCTCTGCTTTCCAGCCTGCTCTGCTTTGCACAGTTTATCTCATGCTGGTTAACTCCTGCATGTTCTTCAGGCTTCAACTGAGACATTACTTCCTCTTTAATCTCTCCCATTTGGACATATATAACATTATAATTAATGCCTGTTGATATGCATGACTCCAACACTAGATTATTAAGCACCAAGATTGCAGCCATTTTAGTATCGCCAGTCCCTAGCATAATATCTATACACAGTAGGTACTTGATATTTATTAATGAGAAAACTACATATTCACCTTGCCTTTTTCTTCTTCATTTCTTTTTGAGACAAGAGTCTCGCTCTATCACCAGGCTGGAGTGCAGTGGCGCGATTGCAATATCTGCCTCCTGGATTCAAGCCATTCTCCTGCCTCAGCCTCCCAAGTAGCTGGGGATACAGGCACATGCCACCATACCCAGCTAATTCTTTTGTAATTTTAGTAGAGATGGGGTTTCACCATGTTGGCCAGGATGGTCTCAAACTCCTGAGCCTCAGGTGATCCAGCTGCCTCAGCCTCCCAAAGTGCTGGGATTACACGCATGAGCCAACACACCCAGTCTCCTTTTTTTGTTTTAAAGACAGGGTCTCACTCTGCTGCCAAGGTTGGGCACAATAACAGCTCACTGCAGGCTCATCCTCCTGGGTTCAAGCAATCCTCCCATCTCAGCCTCAGGAATAGCTAGGATTACAGGCATGTACCACCACTACCACCAGCTAATTTTTTTCTTGTAGAGACAGGGTTTTACCATGTTGCCCAGGCTGGTCTCAAACTCCTAGTCTCAAGGAATGCTTCTGTCTTAGCCTTGCAAGGTGCTGATTACAAGTGTGAGCCACTGCGCCCAGCCTCCTTGTCTGGTTTCATGCTTGTGTTCTCATGTTGCTTACCACCATCCATATGCTGATGACCATCAATGCTTATCTATAGCTCTAAACTAGTTTTTAAAAAGTAGCTTTATAGAGCGCTAATGGACATCCAGCAAACCACACATATTTAAAGTGTACATACTTTGAAGTCTTACATATGTCTACAGTCATAAAGTCATCACTGTATTCAAGACGGTGAACATACCTTGTACCCCAAAATGTTTCCTTGTGCCTTTTATACTTGAAATTCCTCCTTGCTTTCCAATCTCTGGACCCCCATGCTGTAAACCACTGATCTGTTGTCTGTCATACAGATGTTTTTAAATTTTTCCAGGATTTTATATAAATGAAATTATACAATATGTATTATCTTGTCTGATTTCTTTCACTTAGCATAATAATTTTGAGATTCATCCATGTTGTAGTGTGTAGCAATACTTCATTCCTCTTATTGCTGACTAGTATTCCATTGCATGGCTGCAGTACTGTTTATCCATTCACCTATTGATGTACATTTAGGTTGTTGCCAGTTTTCAAGTATCATTATTATTATTATTATTATTATTTTTTTTTGGGAAAGAGTCTCCATCGCCCAGGCTGGAGTGCAATGGTGCAAGCTCTGCTCACTGCAACCTCTACCTCCCAGGTTCAAGTGATTCACCTGCCTCAGCCTCCTGAGTAGTTAGGATTATGGGTGCCCACCACCATAACCAGTGACTTTTTTTTAGTAGAGACATGGTTTTGCCATGCTGGCCAGGCTGGTCTCGAACTCCTGACCCTCAGGTGATCTGCCTGCCTTGGCCTCCCAAAGTGTCTGGCCTCTAGTTTTCAATTCTTAACCATTGAAATTGCTATAAACAGTCATTCCTGTGCAAACACTGCACGAACATGGTATTTCATATTTCTTGGGTGCTAATTGGGTAGCAGTGGTCTGGCCAAGTTATTTTACAGTTGTGCCTTTTTATGTTCCTTGGTGTATGAGTCTTCCAGTTGCTCTATATCCTTGCCATCATGGTCAGTCTTTCTCATTTTAGCCATTTAAATGGGTGTGTAGTGCTATATGGTTTTGGTTTTAATTTCTAGTTCCCTAATGACTTATAATTGCTGAGTTTTGAGATATCTTTATATATTCTGGATACAAGTGCTTCATCAGATACACAATTACAATTATTTTCATAATGCAGAATCTTTTAAATTTTGGTGAAGTCTAATTTATAAATTTCTTATTTTATGGATCACGCTTTCTGTGTGGTATCCAAGAAATCTTTGCCTAACCTGAAGTCACAAAGATTTTCTTTCTTCTAGAAGTTTTTTTTTTTTTTTTTTTTTTTTTAGACAGAGTCTCACTCTGTTGCCCAGGCTGGAGAGCAGTGGTGTGATCTCAGCTCACTGCAACCTCCACCTCCCAGATTCAAGACATTATCCTGTCTCAGCCTCCTGAGTAGCTGGGACTACAGACACACATCACCACGCCCAGCTTCTTTTTGTGTTTTTAGTAGATACGGGGTTTCCCCATGTTGGCCAGGCTGGTCTTGAACTCCTGACCTCAGTTGATCTGCCTGCCTCGGCCCCCCAAAGAGCTAAGATTGCAGGTGTGAGCCACCCCACCCAGCCTCTTCCAGAAGTTTTATAGTTGTAAGTCCATAAGTCATTTTGAGTTAATTTTTGCATATGGTGCAAGATATGCATTGAAGCTTACTTTTTGGCATACTGTATGTGTATCCAATTTGTTGAAAAGTCTATCCTTTTCAACTATATTTTCTCCACTGAATAACCTTTGGACCTTTTTTAAAAATCATTTGTCCACATATGGTAGGGATCCATTATGGATTCTCTGTTCCATTAATCAGTCTATCTTTGTGCCAATACCACAGGGTTGACAGGTCTTGAAATCAGGTAGTGTTATCTTTCCAACTCTGTTATTTTCCAAAGCTGATTTGGCTATTCTAAGTCCTTTGCATTTCCATTTGAATTTTTTTCCCCCATTTGAATTTTAGAATCAGTTTGTCAACTTCTAAAAGGGAAAAGCCTCTGGGATTTTTAGTTTTATTTTATTTCAGAGATGGAGTCTTGTTATATTGCCTAGGTTGGTCTCGAACTCCTGGCCTCAAGCGAATTCCTGGCCTTCTGCCTCAGCTTCCCAGTAGCTGAGATTACAGGCATGACCATACCTGACTTGGGATTTTGATTGGAATCATGTTGAGTCTACAGGTCAATGTTGGAAGAACTGAGATTTCAACAATATTGAGTCCTCTTGACTCATGAGTTTGTAAGAGCTCTCCATCTTTTAGTCTCTTTAATTTCTTTCAGCAATGTTTTATAGTTTTCAGTGAACATGTCTTGCATATCTTTTGTCAGATTTATTTTTCAGTCTTTAATATTTTTGATGTTACTGTAAATGTCATGGCTTTTTGCATTTAAAATTTTGATTATTAGTGTTTTTGTTTTAAATCTTTTTTCTATTTTATTGACATATCACTCTGTAAAGTGCACAGATCCATATATATACGGTTTATGTATATATATAAACCTCTCTTTGGGAAAGCTTTATTGTGAAAAAGATACAAATAATATATTCTTATTAGATTCAGTTTGAAAGGAAATTATCAAGTTTAATACACTTACTTAAGGATGGCTTCAACATTAGATTGGGAAGGTTTTCTCTTTCAAATGAATGAAAATGATCCCTTTCATAGGAAGATGTTAGGTAATACAGTATAAGTGACTAAATATTTTCACTCTTCAAGTTGAAGACCAATTATCCTTCAAGAAATGCCCCCTAATCCAGCATGGTTACTCTTCACCTTCTTTAAATGACCAAAGCAAAGTACATTGGCATATTTAGTTGTGTCATTTGCATCTGAAAACATATTTTATCAATGACTTCTTAAGCATTTGTCTCTCCTTCCTCCCAAGATTTCAATAAACTGATGCCAAGAATTTATGGGAAAAATTATAAAAGTTTACTAAAAGACAGATATAAAAAACTGAATGAATGAAGCAGGCAATTGTGTTCATGGAGAGGAAAAGGCAATACCAGGGAAATATATTACTTCTCCCCAATGTAGTCTGCAAAATCAGTAAAGTAAACAATTTGTTGTTGTTGTTGCTGTTATTTTTTTAAAGAGAAAGAGCCTCTCACTGTTGCCCAGGCTGAAGTGCAGTGGCACCATCATAGCCTCAACTTCATGGGCTCAAGTGATCCTCCTGCCTCAGCCTCCCAAATAGCTGAGGCAAACGCCACTATGCTTGGCTAATGTTATGTATGTATGTATGTATTTATATATTTATTGTAGAGACAAGGTCTCTCCATCTTGCCCAGGCTGGTCTTAAACTCGTGGGCTCAAGCAGTTTTTCCACCTTGGCTCCCGAAGTGCTGAGATTACAGGCATGAGCCACTGCACCCAGACTGCACAAATCTTGTATATAAGTTGAAAAAAATTTATATCTGAATATACTGCTGTGATTACCAGTCAGATCAAGATATGTAACATTTTGTGTATCCAAGAAGGTTTCTTCATGCCCCTGCTCCCCACCATCCCCGACAACCAGGAGATTCCCTTATGATACCTCCCACTATAGTTTTTTATCTTCATATAAATGGAATTAATCATGTTATATTCTGTCTGGCTTCTTCAACTTATGTATATAAGGTTCAACCATATTGTTGTGTGTGGGGGTGGTTCATTCTTATTCATTGCTATGTAATATTTTGTCTCCAACTTAAGGACATTTAGAATATTTCCAGTTTTTGCTCCTGTGGATAACGCTGCAATGAATATTCTTGTACATGATCATAAATACTCGGGTATATGCCCAGTGGTAGAATTATTGGGTAATATGGTATATGTGTAACTAGCTTTAGTAGATAGTGTCTGATATATTTTGGGTGTGTGTCCTCACCCAAATCTCGTGTCAAATTGTAATCCCCAATGTTGGAGGTTGGGCCTGATGGGAGGTAACTGGATCATAGGGGTGGGTTTCTCACGAATGATTAAGTACCATCCCCGTTGGTACTGTCCTCTCAACAGTGAGTGAGTTCTTGGGAGGTCTGGTTGTTTAAAAGTGTGTGACACCTCCCTCCACCCCACTTGCTCCTGCTCCTGCCATGTAAGATGCCTGCTCTACCTTTGCCTTCTACTATGACTGGAAGCTTCCTGAGGCCTCCTCACAAGCAGAAGCTGCTATGCTTCTTGCACAGCCTGCAGAACTATGAGCCAATTAAACATTTTTTTCTTTACAAATTACTTAGTCTCAGTTATTTCTTTATAGCAATGCAAGAACAGACTAATACAGTGTCACACAGTTTTCCAAAATGATTAACCAATTTAAACTCTCACCAACAATATATGAAACACAGTTGCTCCATATCCTTGTCAATGCTTGGTATTGGAAGTCCTTTTAATTTAAGCCATTCTGGTGATAGTTTTGGTATCTCGTTGTAATTTCAATGTCCATGATACAGATTTTTTTTTTTTTTTTGAGATGGGGTCTTGCTCTGTTGTCCAGGCTGGAGTACAGTGGTGTGATCTCAACTCACTGTAACCTCTGCCTCTTGTGTTCAAGCAATTCTCCTGCCTCAGCTTCCTGAGTAGCTGGGATTACAGGCGCCCACCATCACGTCCAGCTAATTTTTGTATTTTTAGTAGAGACAGGGTTTCACCATGTTGGTCAGTCTGGTCTCGAACTCTTGACCTCGTGATCCACCCACCTCGGCCACTCAAAGTGCTGGGATTACAGGTGTGAGCCACCGCGCTCAGCCACAGCTATTTTTTTTTGAGACAGAGTCTGCCTCTGTTGCCCAGGCTGGAGTGCAGTGGTGCCATCTTGCTCACTGCAACCTGTGCCTCCCAGGTTCCCGTGATTCTTGTGCCTCAGCCTCCCTAGTAGCTGGGATTACAGGTGCGCACCACCATGCCCGGTTAATTTTTGTATTTTTAGTAGATATGGGGTTTTGGAGATCCCTTGAGGCCAGGCTGGTCTCCAACTCCTGGCCTCAAGGGATCCGCCCACTTCGACCTCTCAAAGTGCTGGGATTACAGCCTTGAGCCACTGCACCCGGCCATGATATGGCTATTAATATAGAACTTCTTTTCATGTTGGGCCTATAGGTCAATCTTGAAATTCGCCCTTTCATAGGGTATCCAT